CGTATGTACATAAGTATTAGTGTTTTCTCTGGAAAATGGAAAAGCATAGCTATCGGAATTGATAGAGTAGAGTTTGTGTACAGTTTTCAGCTCTAGACTGGAAGGCCTTTACAGGTGTTGTTGCAGGTGCAGTGCTTGTCTAAATTTGTCTTCATTGCACGACAAATCATAGCAAAGTTGTGTGGATGAAAAAACAGACTTCTTTGTATTGGATCAAGAATAAGAACTGAAAGTGAAAGATGATGATAACAGTCTCAGTCTAACTGTCACCTGCATGTTTAGCTGACTGAGACCCAGCTGGGTCAGTACAGTTGGTTGAACATGAGGCTCCATCATCTTTTTTGTCCCTGCTTCGAAGCAGGATCTAAACAATGCAGGTTAGCAAGGAAATCATGAGCTGTGAGTCTGTATTGGAATAGGGTACGAAAAAGGCCCACTGAGGTGTGACATGGTGCAAAAACACTGCATATTTCAGCTCATGTATCAGAGACAAATTAAGTCGAAACTATTCACACACTATTTTATCCTTAGTGAAGCTTGACTGTCTCAAAATAGTCATACGGCATCATGGCTGTTTTCTTGAGAATTGATTATGTCCTTCTTTACATCTGAATGATTTCACATTGTGGAATGGAGACCCTGGGTCCACAGGGACGGACTGTACTTTTTTAAAACTGGAGATTCAACCAGAATCAGTTTGGAGGTCTATCAAAGAAGGGAGATGAAATAGCAAGAAGAAAAATAAAATGAGACCATGGCTAGACATGTATCTTTGCCATCCACCTTTTCCATTTGTATGCAGTGGTGTTTATATTTGGGGAAACTAGTAATTTAAACTCACTGTGCACAGAGATAAAAGACTAATGTGGCCAGAGTAGGAATGCTTCTGAGGATTTGAAGGTGAATATATGGCTATGTGGTGGCTGAGCACTGGGTCTAAAGATGAGCAGGCTATATTTCATGGTAGCTCATGTCTACCTATGTCATTTTTTTCTGTTGACACTGTCATGCCCTTCTTTATGGCTTTGAAAAATAACAGGCTTTATTGTGCTTGGGGACTAATGGATCACAGAGAGTTTGCTGGCCTCTTTATCATATTCAGGCCTTTGTGTATGTAAATCAGTGTGGCTCTGCTGTAGGTAGGCTATTATTTCCTTTTTGAATGGCAAATCAATGTATGAAAACAATAGCACCTACTGGGCACAGACCACAAAAGAGCTTGACTGCCTTCTTCTGAACTTGTGTAAAAATAGCAAGGTCAAACACCCCCATATCAACCTAAAGGGTCTCCTCACCAGGGGGACATACTCACCTCTTAAATGTGACATTTTAGATGTCCTGTCCTCACACATAAGGTATTCTTGTCACCACTGGATATTTGGCTTCTTTGTAAAGAGACATGGAGATTGACACAAACATGCTTGTCATGACCACAGACAGTCACAAGAATGTATGTTTGATGATTTCATAGTCGACGCAAAAAATCTTTTAGCCTGATAATTAGACTGAGCTGCCGTAATGCAGTTGTTCAGCCTGACGTCATGCTCATATTAAACCATTTCTTGTTGTGAAAATTGGTATTTAGTTTCACTCTCAGCACTGACAAACTGATGATTTGACGCTTGAGCTGGTGTAGTGGCAAGAATGGGTGTAAGAAAATATCGATACACTTGGGAATCGCAGTATTACTTTTTACAATACTGTATCAATTTTCAAAAACCTACTATCAATTTTTAATTAATAGTTTACATGCCAAGCGGTGCTATGTTCTTAGATGTTACATGATGACTAAAGACATGTGCCCATTTTAAGAGCTGTTTGTGTATGTTGACTTACTGTATGGCATCTTTCAACTAAGTGTGATTTATGTTTTTTGTAGAAAAATCAGATAGTGAAAACTGCAGTCTATAGAAATTCATTTTCAGTGTCCACATGTGCGTGGTATTCTTATTTTGACTGTCCCTAGACTGCAGTAACTAAATGACAGCAGTTGATGCTCCAAGTGAAGCTAGGTACCATGGGACTGTGCACCATCTGTATTTGTTTAAATTTCATTTCCCTGAAGTGGTTCTCAGCTGTTTATTGCCCATTATTATTATACAGTATATGTCATGTAACTCATCTTGATTTTTGCTCTTTCTTTAATATGTTTACTCTCTCTCTGCGTTAAAAGAGCACCGTCCAAGTGTGGAGAACAGCTCTGCCAATGTGGGAATTGTTCAGCATATATTACCCTTGTCAATTTATTGTTTATTCCTGTTACTCTAAGACAGAGGTGTCCCCATGTATCAGTTAATTGCTGATAAACTGCTATATACTGTGTCCTGAAGTCATTATAAGATGTGTCAGACATGTTAAGTATGCATTTAGTATTGTTTTGTCATGTGCGCACATGTGAGATGTGTGTGGGGTTGGTCTGTGTAAGTTCGACCAATTAGGTTGTGTGGTGCACAAAGCACCAGGTACGTCCCCACACTCACTTTGAGTTTATAGTTAATTTATAATATGTGTACCCTTCCTGTTACTTATGATGATAATAGATTTACAAAAAGCTTTGGAACAAGACATATTATTGAATGACATTATCATTACTATACCTTGGGCTGTGAGGATAATTAGTAACTTGCTGCTAACTTGCCCGTTTAAATGTTTGTTTTTACCTGAAGGTGCCACAATATAGGTTTTCCTTTTCTTGCAACTCACCATGGCCTCATTTAAAATCAACACTATGATATAGATCACAGACTTTAAAAACTTGCTCCCTTTGAATGTATGGAACCTTGGGAGGTCTCTGTTTGGCACTAGACAGTTACATTTTAATCAGATATAGGATGGGTTATGTCTCTCTTCACTTCATGTGCTGTGTGGTTTTATAGGTCCTGTACTTCCATACATCTCTGTGCTTGCCCAGCACGGTGGTGGTTCTGGAGCTGGTGTCATTGTCGCCCAGGCAAGACGGTTCCCAGCAGGCCCTGGGGCGAGGCTTCGCAGTCCTGGAGCTTTTTACCAACAGGCCAGAGGCTCAGGCGGCTGAGGGCAACAGAAGGTGATTTGTCCATTCCTAATTACACCAGACAAAGATTAATGATGTTTCACATAAGGAGATTGTTAAAGGACAGGCACTGTTGTAGTGAGAGGGGTTCACTGTCATATAGGGATTGACACCTTGGTTGGTCTTATATTCTTAGACCTGTTAAGGTTTTGTAATAACATATTTTGCTGATGCACCCATTATAAATGTCCAGCTTTTTACTGCATACTATAGCAGCTCCTTTCCTTCATTCATTCATTCAGGTTGATTTCACTTTTATCTCCTAGGCTGAATCTACACCATGGATCACCAAGAAGCCTCCTCCATCCCTTGGTGAAGGATACAGTGGACTGTAAGGAACCTTTTATATATACTATGTTTTGCAAGTATATATTAGGTCTGTTCATTTCAAGTGTTTGTCCCTCGAGGAATCCAGCAGGAGAGCTGTAAGGGTTTCCAGTTCTCTGTGGCTACTTGTTTTTTCAGAGGTGAAAACCTTGACAGCCATCCCAACAGGCAAAGGTGCAGTTATATTCATTGCCATGCTATAGCAAGTTGAGTTGTTTTGATATTGAATATAACATCAGTGATTCACTAACACTTTATATAATACAGTTTCAAGGGATGAGGCCATCAAGTATAACCTTTGCATACTGCTAATTGTAACTTTGGACTTTGGACTGTTAATTTAATTTAACAGAGTGAATCTGCATAGATATAATTTATCATCAGCTACTCCTAAAACTAAATTATAACGTTTCAAATACAAAGTGCAATCAAAATTCAAAGCACACAAGGACAAAAGAGCACAACATGCAAAATAATGTGTTGAAAAGACTTTTTTTTGAAGTGAGAGATTGAAGTAGAATTGGTTGAATGGCACGGCAAATTAAATTTCTCAAGTGGCAGCCCCATCCTAAAACCTCACTGAAGACTTGGACAATTTCCCAATATAAACCTTTTGAGGAAAAATAAAAGAAACCTTATGTGTGGAAACTTTGTAAGATTGCCAGTGTGCAGAAGGTGCTAGGAGTTAAACATTATAGGACAGCACAATGGAGAATGTCAAAAAAGATAAGACGATGAGCACATAATAGTGAGCAGATATAACATCTGCTATCACTGTGTGGGTCTTCAACCATGAAAAATGACAGAAAGTTTGTGTTCTCTGCTGCTTACATTTAGAACTTCAAACTTCATTTCCAGGCAGCCAGGCTCAATATATCACTGACAATGATTTTTCATATAGTATAAAGGCCAGTTTTGGATATTTTATCTTTTAGCTCCACGTGCAAGTTGGGTCCAAAGCTCCTTGTGTGATTTTAAAGATTGCTGCACTTTATTTGATGAAATTACAATTACATATACAGTAGGTAATGAAGGAAGTTATGACTGATGATTGGAGGAGTAAATATTGCTGTTGCTCTCACTGCTGGACTTTAACAGTTTCTTTATGCTCCTGGCTTTGGGTGAGAGAACTACTGATTTGGTTATCTTTGAGTATTAAAATAGGTATTTGATTGGTTTAGAACTTGAGAACAAATCTTGAATTACTTAGCTTGGTACTGAATCTATGGGTTGGTCTAGTTACTGTATGTCCTCGCTCGGCCTAAATCTAAGGCTATGAATTACAAAATACTGTAGTGCCTCAGTATGAATAACACAGTGCCCAGTGAGAGCAAGAGTTCCTGTCTTGACTATCATGTCACATGAATATCAGAACGCCTTTTCTCAAACACGGACTCTTATGCTAAGCTGAATTATTAATCACATGCCCGTTGTTTAGTGGAACGTTACTTATATTGCCGCCATGCTTGCTCTTGTAGGGTTAAATCCTTTTTCATGTTTTCATATCGCTTTTGTTCTCAGCCACTGTCACATGAACACAGTCCTTACATCTGCTGCTTGACATGAAACATTTTGATTGTCAATTTGTGGACTGAAACAAGCTACATTGACAAGTACATTTCCATACAGTGGCCATTTACATCTGATTCTGTGCAGGAATTATAATGAGAAAACATGCCCTGAAGGCTAACGTTTTATTTAAATCTTTTTTCATTCATTACAAATTGCACATTATTCAGTTTTCCCGATTTTGTTTTTGAAAATACCGTTGCTCTGGATAAGAACCTCATTATTTCTTGATGTGTTGCAAATGAGGTAGAGGTTAAAAGTTTAACTGACTAGAAGTAAATGAATTTTAAACCATATGGTAAATGGCTGTGTTTCCATGTCTTCCATGCTAAAGTGATAGCAAGCATCAAACTCCATTATCATTACAATGGAATGTGCTTCCTCATAGTCCTAAAACAAGCAGTTGCCTTAAGGTTCTGGTCCAAAAATGGACACAGTCAGTAAACACGCATGTGCTACTGCCTATGCTATGCTAGGTGTTTGCATACATGGCACATGTTCACACATATATGGAGATTTCAGCCTGAGGATTTCCTCTGTAGCAGCTGGATCTGTTATAAATATGCATTTGATTACTGGTGTTATTTGTTTCTGGTTTAAGCTACGTATATTATGAATTTTATCACAACTAAGCAAACTGTCATTTAGTATCACATCACAGTAACATTATGGCAGTAAAATAACATAAAACACAGAACTAACCACTTAATCAGTTGTAGGTGAAGGGGCACTGCGGGGTGATGAACAACGCCACGTGAAAATTCTTACTCTCAGACATATACACAGTGCGGTTTCCTTTGCATAGCATGCCTGTGTTCATTTCTGCATCAGAAAAATTCATGCTATACGTACAACCAAAAAAAGATATTGTATTTCCATAAGTGGGGTAAAACTATGGAATAATTTAAGTGCGGACATAAAAAATAGTATTAGAATTGGCGAGTTTAAACATAAATATAAAGGTATGTGTCAATCAAGATATATGCAAGAACAGGCTTAATGATTAACCAGATGGAACATTGTGGGTGTGGTGTATGAATGTTAACACCTTGTATTAATTCTTTAGTATGTTACTTGTGTGGTGTAGAAGATAATTATTTAAGAATGTAATTATGTAAGAATGTTAACACTCTGTTATAATTTTTTTAGTATATTACTTGTGTGGTGTAGAAGATAATTATCTATGTAGAGATACTGCTTGCAAACCAATGATGTAAGATGATGTCATGGGGTAGGACTGGATAAGTCTGACTTCTTCCTACTCCATTCAAGCATGTACTAGGTATAAGCAAATTGATATTGGATTATGTGTAAAATTATGTGTGTTGTCATATCAACTGTTTCTACATGCTTGAAAGAATAAATCAAATCAAATCAAATCAAATGTAAACATAATACTTCAGATTTAATAATCAAATTAAAAACTACTATGGTAAAACCAAAACAAAGCCTAAAAAACTATAACAGAAATAACTCAAAGAAAAAAAACACCTCTCTGTTACAAATATATACTTTAAACCAAAACAAAACCTAAAACAAGAAGCTAAAACATTGAAAAGCCAAAAGATTAAAAACACTAAACCCATAAAAGCAAAAAAATTACATCCAAACATTAAGCTAATAATTAAAGATTAACCAACAATTTCTGTGGTTGTGGTGGTGATCTGACCTCGGCCAGCTGATCAAATCGCCTAAAGAGTTCGTTGAGAGTTTTGACGAGTTTCTGAGCCGATAAAATCAGCGAGAGCGAAGTGAAGCCAATGATGTCAGCAAACAGGATGCTGGGAAGAGAAACGAGGAATTAAAACAATTCAAATCACAGTTAGACTTAGAACCTTTGAGAATTTTGATTAAAAGTCATATCTTGTAAATTCAACTCAGGGGAAGTAGATTTATGATGCACCAAACTTTTGAGATTAACCTCATGCTCAGTTCATGGTTTATACTTCTCCATTACTTTGCACAGTGGTAATGAAACTTTGAATCTGCATTACATATGCTTGGTCGTCTGGAGGTAGAAAAACTCACACTGGCCCGAAATTGGCTCAAACCAAGGTGCAAACCTGCCCTCCGATCATGCTGGAAGATCTACCTGACATCTTTGTAGTGGTGAATGTAGATCTTATAAATCTGCTGGGGCAGCAGGTATTCGTCCAAGGTGGCCATGTCAGAGATCATCTCGAGAACCAGAAACCGAGGCAGGATTGACATCACTAGACGCTCCTGGAACGCACCACAGTACCTTTTAAATATGCCAAACATACAATGGGCACAAGTTTTCAAATGTGAGAACCGCTGCTTTTCAGTGTCCTGTATAATGAATTCAAATATCTTTGTGCTGTTGGCCTGAAAAAAAAAAGAAAATCCTTGTGAGAGGAGAAAAACATCCTCATATTCCATGTTCCAACCTATGAATGCTCTTACTTTATAATAAACCAATGTCTGTTTGTAAAAGTAAAATATACAACATATAATAACAGCACTATTAATAATGGTGAGTGTGTGGAGAACAGTGTCTCCCCACCTGTCTGTAGTTTTCTCTCTCCAATCGGACTCGTCCCTCGATACAGCGCCTGGTCTCCAGGAAGGCCTGTCTCTGCGTCCGGTCAGACAAGTAGTGGATGAACAGGCCTGCTGTGTTCATAGCCAGGTACAGCAGGGCCTTCGACAGCACCTGGACAGGTAACACATATACAGTGATAACAAGGACTCAGGTGAAGACAGGAAAAGGAGCAAGGAAAGGAAGGAAAAAACAAGGAAGAAAAGGGGGAAGAATGGAGGAAGGAAGGAAGGGAAGAAGAAAGGATTCCAATAAAAAGATAAAGAAGGAAAGGAAAAATAAAGAATATAAGGAAAGAAAGAAGTAAAAAAGGAAAGAACGAACAAAGCAAAAAGAAGGAATGAAATAAAGATAGGGAAGGAAGAAGGAAAGAAAACAGGATGAAAAATAAAAGGAAGGAAAGAAAGGGGAGCAAAGAAGGAGGAACAAAGGAAAACAATAGAAGGGAAAAAGTGAGAAGAAAAACAGAAGGAAGAAAAGGAGGGAATGAATGAAGACAGGAAGAAGGGATGTAAAAAATAAACAACGCCAAATTTCTGGACCTTTCTGATGAAGGTGTGGTCACCATAGTGACAGAAGACATCCACCAGCAGGTGCAGGGTGGAGGTGGTTGCCCCAGCGATGATGGACCACAGGAGGGGGAGGGGCAGCAGGGTGTAGGTAGAAAACAGAGTGAAGAAGATGTACCAGGAGTGGTCGCTCCCCACACAGGTGAAGACACCAACCAGCATCTGGGCGGTCTGAGACACCCAGCTCATCACGGACAGGTACCTGACAGAGACAGTGCTGAAATACCAGTACTACAGTGGAGACGTACTGCAGCACAGGGAACAGGTATATAAGTACTTTTAGAGTCAAAGTAAAACTGGCTGATATAGTCTTGGTTGGTTTAAACTATTTCATAGTTTAATTTAGTAAATCCCAACCTAGGGCTTGGGGCCCTCCAAGGGGTCACCAGATAAACCTGAGGGGTCCACAGACCTGAGCATCAGGATTATAAAATACTGACATTTTCTGAAGCTGCTGAATTAATTTCCTAGCATACCTCAGCCACTGTGGTGATGACATCACCTCCCTCCTGGTCAATGCCAGTACACAGATCCCTGCCCACAGGATGAGCAACAGGCCGGCTAGCCAATCGCAGCCAAGGGTGGCCTGGCCTGGCGGCCACATCAACACAAATGCGAGAAGTCGGGTCAGGATGTCGATGATGTTGGTGATGACCAGAGAAGTTCTTCTCTGAGCAGAGGAAAACTGCTGGTACAGCTGCTCCAAGTCCAGAGACCTGAGAGTAGTGACCAGATCTTAGCAAAGCCAGTACAGACCATGTGTGTGTCTGTGTGGAAGTGTGTGATAAAGTACATTTTTATGAGCATGTTTTTGATTTTAAAAATGGTTTTTGGTGTGGTTTTCATCTCCAACTCTACATAAGTGTGTGGTTGTACTATGTTTTTACTTGAACGTGTGTTGCAGTGCAGGGATGAAGACACCTCGAACAGTCAACCCACAGGACACAAAGAAGTCAGCATTGCTGAGTAAGTCATGTTTCGTCTGTGTTGCTGTGTTGCCTTGGTGTCCCTGGGTGGATACGAGCCACCGATGAGCGCCGCTTCTGTGAGTACACTCCACGAGATACCTTACTGCGGATCTGCCTGCAAGACAACACAGAGGGAAAATGTCACACTCTGCCTGATCTCCATGACTCCTCCTTTTGATTAACTCACTGGCTCTACCTGTTGATTTCAACGATGTAGGCGTCAGTCACAACGATGCTGTGCCGGCCTCTCTCCAGGCCCCCGGCAAGCCTCAGTGAGTAGAGGTTGTGCTGGTCGATGATGTTTCTGACTGAGTTCTGCCACAACCGCTGTTTCCTGTGTAGGCTGTGGGCGGGGCCTATGTTGGTGCTGAAGATGATGTCACTAGTCTGCTGTGCTGCCTCGCAGTCATTGTTCTCCAGCACACCATAGTCATCATCACCCATGGCTGCGAGAGCGGTGAGGACGGCCTCCGCTGCAATGTGATTGGTGGAGAAGATTTACATAAAAAGAAGGCCTGTATGAGCTGCACAAACACTAAAAAACAGTTCACGTGTGGGACAAATGTTAATGGATGAACATGGTGAACAGAGAGAGCAGTGGAGACAAAGACATTTTAGTTTGTGAGGATAACATTAAGGTCAAAGTGACCTGAGAAGACAAATTAATCACTTAAAATACAATCTGAACCCTCATTTTAGAAATGGAGGCTACACATTGGCCTACTGCAGTCTGCTTTGTCAAAATCTATTATGTGCTGTAACACTGGTGAACTGTAAATTTTAGCATTAAGGTGATTAAGTTAATTTGATTTTTAAAAATCAAATTTTACCATCATAATAGCAGCAAGGTCAAACTTTGGTATTTATTACATTAGTGGTCAGTGTTTACTCCAGATTCTAACTGAGCTCTCTGAATTAGAACAGTCTTTGAAGTGGTTTGCATTGTTGTCCAGCAGAAGGCGCTCACAAAGTTCAGACTGACCTTTTGATGCCCTGTTGATCTATCAGTAAACTAAGCTAATCAATAAAAAGGGAGGACAGAACTACAAACCGAGCAAACACCTTGGTCTTTAAATAAACTTCAGTTTTATGTAAATGATTCTGACCAAATAAGCACATTGCCCAGTAAGTGAACGCCATGTTTTGCTTGAAACTGAAGATTATGTGGAGTCATAGTTCATGAATCACAAATGCTGCACGTGCAAAGTCAGGATGGCCACAGCAGGATTCCTTTCAGGACTCAAGGTAGCAGTGGTGGACTCAGGCTGTTTGAGGGCCAGGGGCGAAATCCTGATCTTTCTCATAGAAAACAATGACCGTGTTGTTCATGGAGGGAGCTCAAACCTATCTGAGCTCACAGACCAAGGCCAGTTTGTGTTAATTAGACAACTACTGATTAATTAAAATTTAGTAAATGACATTAAATCTCTCTGATTTCTGCATGCTCAGCTGATCACATTGTGTGTCTGACAGAAAACCTAAAGGCCTCTCTGTGGACCAGTTGGCCTTAATAGGTGGTTTTGGCCCATGTCAGGTCCAGGTTTCAGGACTAATCCAATTAGAGTACCTCAACCTTCTGGCTCCTGACTGAGGAGGAGGAGGAAATCCCCTGAGCTCGGACACATCCGGACGAATGAATGGAAGCTACTGTAAGTTAATTAGACAACTACTGATTAATTAAAATTTAGTAAATGACATTAAATCTCTCTGATTTCTGGATCGTCTGAGCTCGTTACTCCAACAGGTAGTGTTGTGTCATCCAATCAGAACAGTAATTAAACCAAACTAACAACACAAGCAAAGACTCATGAGCAGCAGCAGCGTGTTGTATTTACTTGGTGTGTTTTGTCCAGATGAACAGTGTAGCACCAGTTTCATACCTTTGTAGCTGCAGAGGTCAAAGGTCAGCCACCAGCCCTCCTTCCTTTAGTTCCTCTTCTTTGCTGCGTTTTTCCATTTTTCAGTGTTGAGTCATTTTCATTTGTAGTCCACTTCTCTTTCTCTTGTCCATCTTTAATGTGGTTTCCTTTCCTCTTTTCTTTTTATATCTTATTGTGTTTTACCGTCCTGTTTGATTTGTCATAAATCTGCTTGTCTGTTTCTTCCTCCATTTTCTCCATAGTAGCTGTGTCTGCCTGTAGTGTCCAAACCTGCAACAAATACACAAACACACAAATTCAAAACAATAGTGAGAACAAGCTCTCAGTGATTGGAGAATGAAGCATTCTTAAAATCCGAGCAAAGAAGAAACAGACGACAGATCCACCAGAGACAGAGCGGCGGAAGGAGGGGAAGCAGCTCTGTGTAATCAGTGTATCCAGCAGATGTCGGAGTGTGTGTTAATCCCAACAGGAATCCCTGAAACAGAGACAAATGGCTGTACAATAATAGCACAGATTAACTGTGTGTGTGTATGTGCAGGTACATGATGGGATTGGCAGACCTCCAGTTAGGTCAACCACGCTCTGCTTGTACGGTGCTACTACCAGTTAGTCTTGAGTTCAGCTCCATAATAAAACCAGAAATTACACAAGAAAAGAGGCCTGCTGACAGCTTCCTGCACCTGTGATGTTAAACACAACCTGAAATGACAAAAATATCAAGAATGTCCAGTTGTGACTCATTTGCAAGAAGGAACATGAAATCATGGATGGACCTACTGGGCACAGGCCCCTATACGAGAGAGCCATGAAGGGACTGAAAAGTCAATCAAATGATTACATAAAGTCCTCACTTTTCAAAAATGGATCCCAATCATGTGCTCAAAACATCCTTGTTTTCTAAAACCTTCCTTTTCAAAAACCTCCTGTTTGCAAAGATAATTTCACAGTAATGTCCATACTTTTCAGAAACATTCTGGCTTCACTTTATATTTTTACCAAGACGAAAAACGCCCTATTTTACAAGAACATCCCCATTTATAAAAATCTCACTTACTAAAAACTTCACCTGAAAACAAACAGAAAACAGCTGAAAACAGAAATAAAGTTAGTCTTTTATTTCAAAATCATCAAGTCGAACCTGCACTTACAAGAACATGAGACTGTCTCACTCGTTCACTCACTCTTCACACTCAAGTGCAACAGAAAGCATTAGTGAAACAAACAGTGAAACAGTGAGCAAGTGTGAAACTGTCGACATGCAACTCTGTGACTGTGTCCTTACTGAAATCATTTGTTCAACGCTCTACGATTGGGTACCTCTAGATTAGCTTTGCACCCCTCATAACCCCAAATAGTCTGTAATTATTTCAGAATGATAAAACCAGAGAGCCTCTTCCTACAAATGAGAGGATAGTTCGTGAAGGCGCAAAAAGTTGTGTCACAAGTGGACAAAACAATGAACCGTGATGGCATAAATTGATATGAATTTCTCCTCCAAAGATAGGTAAACAATGGTATATGTGCCCATGAAAAGAGATGTGTAACACTCAACAAAGTGGGTAATTGAGAAGCCCCATATTTTAACTGGCATAATGCAGACATAGTAACTTCTCCAGCCTTACAACAATTCTCTCTAACCTTATAGAAACAACATATTAACAGACATGCACCGTGTAGCACCGACAATAACACCATGGGCCGTTAATCTGCTACTTAACCAGCAACACATCACATGCAGCAGACACACTGGCCTCAAGCAGTCAAAGCAAACAGGTACTGTACTCTGGGGGGAATCTAGCATTGATGAGCTGATCATTCACAGTGAGGGTTTCACTGTCTTCACCCAGTCAGGTAAAATAGTGAGTCCCTGTACAGAAACATTCCTGGACATGCAGTAACCTCAGGCCCTGTATTTTAATTCACATCCTCTGGTCACAGTGCAGCAGCAGGAGGAAAAATATATCCACAAAACCAGGTGCAAGTTTGTGAGACATGTATAAACCAAGTTGCTTCTGCATAGAAATACTAGAACATAGGTACACCTAATTTTTTGAGCTCTAGGTCATGTCTAAGATGATAATTCACCGTTGTAGCATTGTAGATAAGTCATAAAAACAAGAAGTGCCATGGGCTCTTTAAAGATGGTCTGAGGCAACAGAAACTTCTCAGGTGATCAAAGTTATGAGGTATAGACTTCAATCTGTGACTTATGCACCTTTAATTATAAACAAGTTATATTTGAGTGTGTATTGATGATTTAAATTAAGAGTAACTTTGAATTCTTCTATGAAATTTTCTGGAATGACACTAACACTCAAATTTCAGGTTCTGTCAATCGATCCGATAAGTTATTGATTACATCATAAAAATCACAGTAAAGTGACACGTAGAAGCTCAGCCTGTGCATTTCTTCCTCTGGATACAAACATGTAAAAATATAAAGCTATGGTAACATCTCCATGCCATCAGAGCTTTACAGTATCAAACAGCCTTTTCTGCTTTAACAAGACACTTTGACAATAACTAATCGGGAATATGGTGCAAAGAAATTTGAGGAAACAGAAAAAAAAGCAACTGATGCTAAATTCAGTAAACAGCAGTGACTGGTTCCACCACTGATGGACTAGGAAGTCAGACAGGAAGTCGGGGTAGTGATTAAAACTCACAGCAAACCAAATATTTTTTCAAATTTAGGCCTTTTTGGCTTAATTTTCCTGATGCATTTAGCTGCATCGACCATTTGTAGATCTGAGGTGAGGAACGCTGCAGGCTTGGCCTCATGAGAAGCATCAAAGTTCAAGAGTATTTAACAAACATGCATTTTGAACTTCTACTGACTTGGCAGCCGGGCTTTAAAACTGGGTTTGTGCACTATTAGGATGTAGCTTTAGGTAGTAAACCATTTACTTTGAAGGCTATGAAACACAAATTTATCCAGAATAAAAGACACATTTAATAACAATTCAATGACTTTTACTACAGTAGTTAATACCTTAAAAGACTTGATTTGTTTCTTTGTAATAGCAACATGATGATGTAAACATGTCAGACCTCTGACCCACTGCTCTGCTGACGTTAACCTGGCTGCAATGTGAATACAAACGCGTGCACATTCTAGGATGAAGGCCATGTGAAACAAAGAGAAACGTTCTGACAATCTCTGACAAAAAAGCCACAATTTAAGATTTTTTTTAAAACTGTCTAAAAAGTCAAAATGTATTATCATAATTTAACCCTTCCTCAAATATTTTGACATTTTCAAAGAATTTTGACTTTTTTTTCTCAGCATTGCAGCTTTTTTCTCATCTCAAGATTCAGACTTAAAATGATATCTTAAATTGTTTTCTAAACGGAAGATTGTGCTGAAAATTTCTTAACTACAATTTGATATTTTCAACATTCAATAGAATATGAATATCTTTTATCAGAACTGCAAAATACTACTTCAAAATAAATTTGAATAAAATAGTTTTAACTTCTAATCCCAGTTCGTCAGGTCTGATGTCAAGTTTGACTTTTAACTTCAAAATCTGATTTAAATCTGAATATTCAAACTTACATTTCAGAATTCGTATTTCCCTTAATTACCATTTCTACTGACATCTGGCATTCAAAAGAATCTCAGAATTATAATTCTTTTTAAAATTACCAACTAATTTTTTCCACAAAGTTTTTTCTAATTCTGCTTCATCAGAATTATAGCTTCAATTTTAGAATTTAATAATGCTAATATCATATTGAGTTGAATCTTATGGCCTTCCTCATCCCCTGTACACCCACTTTCTCACATTAACATGCACCAAAGTGTAGTAAATAAGTTGGACCTGGTCATAAACCAGATGTTAGGTTGGCATACAGCACAGTGGCAAGCAGCATGGCACACACAATGCTAATAAATAAACCAATAAATAAACACTGTTCATTCGACTGTGTGTGACTCTTCAGTCCAGGTCTGAGAGATGAGAGGTCCGACCTCCACCAGCTTTCAGCTGAGTGTCTGTGTCTTATTTAATGTTCTTCAGCAGTGAGGTGCGGGCGTTCACCACGGCCTTAAAGGCATCCTCGCTGCCGGGGGCCACACATTTATCTGGGTGGAGCAGGACTGCCAGCTTCCTGTACGCCTTGTTCACCTCCTCCCTGGAAACAAACAGGAACCAATGTGACAGTAGAAACAGGGAAGCAGACTGAGACATGAATATTTACCATTCAGATTGTTAGGTAATTTCTTAGTTAGATAGATATGGATTAGAGATCTGTTGTATTAGAAGATGTTTAGTGCAGCAGGATGTCTTCCTCAGGCTGTTAAATGCAAGGACAGGTAAGGCAGAGAAGGGCTGAAGTCAGGGACAAATGTTATTATGACGGTAAAAGTAACCATAATATTTGTCTTAATGTGTAATGTTATGTCAAATTGTTTTAGATACACACCACGAAAACAACAGCCACACACATTATTTTCTTCATGTTTGGTCTACTGCTCTGCTCAGCTGCCAAGCTGGCATATCAGGTGACGTCACGGTTCGACAGCCCAGAAAGGATTAATATTGTATAGCAATGCGGTTTGAAAGAACCGGATGAGGCTTTATAATGGTTTTTAGGCCTTTAAGATCAAGTAACAAAGTGTACCTACTCATAATGATGTCGCAGTGCAAATGCATACAGTATCTATCTATCTATCTATCTATCTATCTATATATAAAAATTTTTTTAAGATTTACTTATATGCATAATTAGTTTACAGCTAAACAAATCAATTGTCTTTATCTACGTGCAGTTTGTTCCGACCTGAACCTGGACTGACCTACTCACCGTGTGGCACCTGGTTTCACACCCAGCATATCCCAGGAGTCTTTGCTGTTGCGGATGCGTCGGATGGTGTCAGCCTGCTCTTTGGTGAATCCGACGCTGACCTCAGACACCGGACGCTTCCCACCATTCTCACACATGTCGGTGATGGATGAGAAAAACGCCTAAGCGGAGACACACACACACACACACGTTTGTAACAAAACACTTGGTTAAAAACTACTATGCGACTTTACATGTGTGTGTATAAACCTGAAACATCTCGTTGATGCCCTCGCCGCTTTGTGCCGATGTCTCAAAGTAATGAAACCCTCGAGACTCCGCCCACAGACGCCCCTCCCCCTCGTCCACCACCCGTCGCTTTGTCAGGTCCACCTGCACAGGTGAAGACACGTGATGATAAAAGTCTCTAGTTTACAAAAACTTTGACATCTCAAATTGTTTTACTGTGCAGAATCATAAAGAACAAGTGTGTTGGTTCCATTTTCATGTTTAGTTTACTTTGACAAATTGTTTATGTGCACTCACAGAATACCTTTAACACAGGCCTGGATGCCATGTGGACGTTTGCCTTCAGTGTCACTACTGTGTTCAATGTTAAAAAATGGGTGTACAGTACTTCATTATTTATTGTCATTATTTCCAGTAAATTACAGCAGAAATGGCTAAGTGATTGATTGAATAGACAACTGACTGAAAGTTAATCAGCACCATTTATGATAAAGTGTTTAAGTCACTGTCTCAGTGTCCGAGCTGTGATAACTAACTCTTATCCTTAATCTTATCTGAAAGCAAATTAAATATTCTGGGGTTTTAAACTGAAAAAGAAAGTGATGGACACCTTTGACCATCTTGTCATTTTACAAACCAAATGTTTAATCCAGAAGCTGCTCCACTAATATAAATTACCCTAAACATTGAGACAAACAAACACTGTACCCTGCAGTTTCATTTTTCAGACACTGGCTCTATCCCCTGATGGTTGCCTCTCAAGCAACCATTTCTCTCAGACTGGGTACACACCTCAGTCAGTGGGACTGAGAGAATGCAAACTCAGACAGGACTTGAGCTCTTTCATCTACAAACTAAAGCATGTATTTAGAGGACTTTGATGGGGATGGTTGAAAGCCTGTGAGCTGTTGAGTTCAACCTTGTTGGCGCAGACGATGAACACGATGCTGTCCATGTTGGCCTGAGAGCCCATTTCTTGTTTCATCTCCCCCAGCCAGCTGTCAAGAGCATCAAAACTCTCCCTGAGGCCGACATCGTAAACCAGCAGCACCCCCTGGCTGTCCTTATAAAACTCATTACGCACCTGAGGGACAGGATATAGAAAAATGGAAAAGAAAGAAGGATGATGGGTGGAAAAAGGAAAGAATTAGTCCAGCAGCATCACCTGCTAGCAGATCTCCCACCTCACAACTCACTAAAACCTGTGACCTGATTTCACTTTGCTTGAAAAATGTATTGAATTAAATGCAGACATTCAGAATATCAAGACTTGAATGTAATGTGACTCAGCTGGACAAATAAAAGGCTAAGTATTGAAACGAGGTTGGAAGGATATTAAAGAAACGTTAAAGTACTTACTTCATAGAAAAAAGGATGACCGGCCATGTCGAAGATGTTCACTTTGATTTCTCTGTCACGCACTTGTACTCTGCCAACACACAGTACTACAGTAACACACATCGCTGATGTTAACAGAACTGCAGTAACACATATTACAGTGGTCCTACACTTACAAGACGATGTGATGCAAGTACAAGGATAACACATAATACAAAGAAAACTCAGTCAAGTCATAGATTAGTTGCCCAGTGTATGAACTTACTTGGTGACTCCATAGTCAATACCAATTGTGGCCAAATACTTGGGAACAAACCTCTTCTCACAGTAGCGTTTGATGATGCAGCTCTGTAGAGGAAATAAACAATGAGCAACCGCATCCCTCACACCAAATTCCCTTCAGAAATCAAACAATTTAAAAAACCTTTTCTGTTCCTGCTAACTTATTGTTAAAATTGGTATTTAGTCCTGACAAGCGAGATTTACGTAGAACTTTAGTCAGAAAGATGTCAACTTTAGTGGGCATTAATTCATTCTAGTCAAAAATGCAGATGTATTAAACATAAATCATGATAATTTCAAAATCTGTTGGTTCTTCAGGACAATTCAGCACATAAAATTCAGAAAAGAGCCAGTGCATCTACATCAATAGAACGTCGACATACAGAACTGCTTTACATTATAAGGTTTACATTTAATATTTACAGGTAATGGTGTAATTAACAAAGATTGATATCAACTTTCAGACAATGTACGTTTCGGCAAAATTACATACGTGTTAAAACATAATTGACGATAATTTATAAATCATTACATTCTCTAGGCTCATTCGGCATATATATTATCCGTCAGCCTGATATTACTTAATTACAAAACCTACGCTTTCAAGTGATTCAATGCTAGTAGGTGTCACTATTCCCAATGAGTACAAGATTAAATTTGATCAGAAATGATTTTATCTAAATAAGTAAACTGTAAGCCGAATTTTTCAGAAGATGACACTTTTTCTAAACAAGTGTTAGTGAATGTTGTATTTTTGTAAAAATTTCGTTCCACAAGCAAGGATGCATTAAAGTAATTGATTTTTGTAAAGGGACCTGGACTCAGCATGAACAGCATAAATGAGAAAGAACAAAATCACAAACCTGACAAAAAATGCACAACAAATGTCTAACATTATAGCAGCCATTACAACCGTTTCAATAAATATTTCGTAAGATAGCTCTTATAAAGGCTATATATACACACACATTTACCACAGCTGGGAGAACCTAATCTAGAGTCTACCAGATTTTATTGTGGCGGTGGTCTAAAATAAACTGCTGATCACTTACCTTTCCTACCTCGGCATTTCCAAGGCTTATCACTTTCACACGCAGTGATTTCTTACTGTCTCGTCTTTTCGGCGCGTTTGTCTCCATCAGAGTACTTTCAAATTGCCGTTTTTGTGCTGAAACTATGCGGGCTGCTAACGAGTAGACGCAGCGACTCAGTGTTGACTGTTTGCTACTGCTACTGCTGCTGGAGCGCGGCTAATTGCGCTAACTAGCCGTAAACTGGCTAGTAATTAGCCCGGCCCTTAAACTCAAGTGTTATCGGTTCAATTAATCACACGGCATCGTTTTTTACTTTAGCATTAGAGCTAATGCTTCGGCTAACCTGAAATCGCAAAACACAGCAGATACAAAGAAAGCCTGTTACCCCCATAGCATAATGCTAAGACAGAAACTTCCGCCAATTGTTTTCAAAGTAAAATAACGTTTGGAGAATACGGCGAACGACAAATTAATTTATTTCACAAAATACTGTTGATTTTTTAATTTACTTTTTAAAACACCATGATCGAAATCAATTTTTTGGCATGGTAATCAAAGATCCTTTTGTCTCTTCATTTGAAAAGGCGAAAGCTAACACCTTAGTTTCAAAAGCCATTACTTTAACCTCTAGAGTCCTGAGCTTTGGAAACCCAAGCTGTGCGGTCCTCATATGAGGACGCAGGGACTCTAGAGGTTAATGCACTAAAGATTTTAATGGGTTTCTGCATATATTAGGGAAATTCAAAACTAAGGGATTTGCCATACGGTATATTTAGGGTCATTCAGTGAATAAAATCCTTAGATATTTAGGGTTTTACTGGATATCCGTTGAGTTCTCTTCTAATTATCCTTTTAAAATACCTTAATAAGGTTCAATTGTTTATATTTAGTGGACTTTGAGTGTTATATTTACTGGACTGAGTGGTAAAATTAACATACCATTTTTGCTGTTAAGGCAGTGACAATTTTATACATCACACTTTATACAGCAGAAGCTACATGTGGAAATTTTGATCTTCAGCTGTTTTCACACATTTTATTACACCTGACATTTACAGAGCAAGCGATCATTACAATAAAAGCAAAATCTCCATACAGAAACATCCTAACAATATAAATGTTATTCAGTCATTACACAAATTCTCAGGTTAAACATCAGAACAAATGACTATTTATATGAACTGTAAAGGTCCAGTTAAGTCAAATGCTGGAAATACTTTCACCACGTTAAGCAAAAAAAGAACAATAATACAAGAAAATTAAAAAGTAGATTTAAAATAAAACAGGTTTTACATGTTAATCGAGTCACCACAAATCTGGGGTTTGTTAATGGATAGATTCATAAACTTTACAGGGTTTCTAAAAAGGCAAATCTCCTATAACATTTACAAAATATTCTAGTATTATTACATACTATGCTGATCTACTATGGTGTAAATCAGTCAACTTAAAAAAAATTATGAGATGACTGAAACACGAGGAACTGACTAAATGAAATGCATCCAGAGGAGTCAGTAAAAACTGAAAAAAAAAATAAAGGGAATATAAATACAAATGTGTGGCTATTTTTGACTTGGCCATGTTTGGACCTCACCAAACCTTCAAAGATGAATCTTTAAACTAAGCGTTTCAAGTCTTGTCTTCATAAAACCAGAACATCAGCCATAATACTTTGTCAAGAACCAGACCCTGGTGATGCTAGCGAGCAGGAAGCGGCTGCATCTCGAGGGTCTGGTAGGTGTCTTTCGTGGCTGCGCTCAGACCCTGCAGAGATAGAAAACAGTTTATCAGCCGATCAGTCATCAGTGCTCAACTTTGTCAACGCAAACAGAGCAGTGAGTGAGTTCCACAAAATTATTATTTACCCAAGTCAAACTACCAATGTGATTTTATTGATGGTTTCACTGCTGCACAAAGCTTCAAGCTGGAAACTAAAAATGTTGTCTTTGGCCGCTACTCACCTCATAAACCTGGTCGTTCTTCCTCTGACGCTGTTGACACAAACATGAAGAGTATTAAGAACAAATACAAAATGAATAATAATAGCCAACATGATGAAGACACTGAGTCAAGTAATAAAAGGTCTTATGTAAGATCAAAACATCAGACAGAAGAAACTGATCATTTTGTCTTTATCAAAGCTCCAGATGTTGTTGTAGTGATTATAAAGAACAACAGTGTAAACTTACTTCTCTTTTCATTGGAAGCTCTTTGTATTCATCGCCTGGACGTTTGTTCAAGTCCTACATGTTTATAGAAATTCACATGTCAAGTTAAGTAAATAAAGTGCAACAGTAATGATAGTTAAATGAAAAATAGGATGTCTTCTAAGAACTCTACTTTTGATTGCATTAATTAACCATCAGAGCAAAGACACTTGTCCAGAATGACTGTTTCTTACCGTGTAGGTGGCATCATCAACCGGCCGGCGGTTCTGTAGAAACACATACTGATTTCAATAAGCTGTTTCTGGGTTAGCAATGATCCTTCGGGGGTCTGTTTAAGTTTATTACAGTTGTTTTCTAGTATTTCTTTCAGGAAAATTCTTTCATAGAAAGAAATCAATTAGTTTCCTAAAGGATATAATAAATTGTCTTAATAAAATGTTTCTGGGCTCTGTGTGATTATTTCGGGCTTCTTTCATAGATTGAGGATTTGTCATTTTAGTCCTGTTACTGTTCTTTCAGGTTTACCAGGGTTCTCCAGAATTTGTCAAGGTTCCTATCAGTTTCTCTTGAGAAACATGTAAGGGTCTTCAGGGTTTGTTTGTTTCTGGGGTTGTGTTAAGATCCTTTTATTGTTCTTGACATTTCTGAATCAGGGTTCTGTCAGAGTTTAAATCTCAAGCTTGTTAAAGTTTCTTTGTGGTTCGGTCCAGGTTTTTCCAAGGTTTGGATTTTTTCAAGGTTGTCTGGAGTTCAGAGGGGTTCTTTTATGATTCATGATCATTGGGGGTCTTTGTGTTCTCTATGGTTTGCTGGGGCTCTTTCCAGGTTCTAAAGAATTAGTTCTAGGTTCTTAGAGTAGTTTTGCACTGTGTGGTTCTCTAAGGAAATGCAAGGATTCTTTCACCATTGAACAGTTTCATGATTTGGTGGCTTGTCAAAGTTCTTTCAGGTTTCTTCAAAGTTCCTTAATGAACTCAGATGAACAAAAATAAATAAAAAATAAAATTTTCTGTCAACGTGAAGGGTTAATAAACCGTACCAGAGTCTGTAATATCCACTGATAGACTGTGCAGCTTGTTTTCAGTGTTTTTTTATTTTGTGGCTCCGAGTTCAGTTTTTATTATTTGACCTTAAAGATCATAAACACTAGCAGATACCATCACAGTCAGACTCACCCGCCCGCCACTCTCGGGGTCTCTTCTCATCAGCGGGGCATAGCCACCACTATCCTGGCCTCTCAGATCCTGAACACAAACACAAACAAACTGCTCCTCACTATGTGTCAGACTGCAGGTCAGACAGCTGCTTTACTGCTTGTTCAAATGACAGAAAAATAACTTTTGCAGCTATTGTGATGAATAATTTCATCCACATTTAAACAATCAGTGTCAACATGCAGTTCCAGCTTCTCTGTTTAAGTCCTATCTTTATATACGAGCACAACTATAATATTCACAAGAGTCAGAAAAGGATAAATAAATGTGCACATGATATGAGACTCACGGTGTAGATGCTGTCCTGCTTCACCTTCGCTTTGGTTGTAAAGAACTAAAAACATTGGAACAAAAGAAAAAAGAAAATGAGTGTGAAACATGATGCACATAGAAGTGAAACTACAAGCAGCTACACAGAGCGCTCCTACAAACTCAGGGCTCCAAAAATCCAGAGGCATTAAACAGAAATGATGAGGGTTAGAAAAGGGACAAATAAAAAATACAGTGAAGTGTCACTGGGAAGTTACAGAAGTGGTACAAGGTGTTTGCTTAAAGCAAACAAAGCTGATGAACAGCATGTTCATTTAACCAGCTCCTCTGTCATCACAAAAACCAGGGCAGCCAAACTTTACTCTTGTTTTAACACGGACATCAGATTCAAAACCTCCTAGTGCAACTAAAATATAGATAACCAGCTCAGCAGTGACTAATGTTATATTTAAGTATAAGGCCAGTGATTTTTATCTGTGCACAGTGACACTGTTCTCAGCCTGTAGAGCCATGTGTTGGAAACAGACGGCCTCACATGTTTCCTGAGGAAGAAACCTGCCCCCCAGTGCAGCGTTGTGGCTCACTGGGGTGGGTTTAATAGCTGGTGGACAACAGTGGAGGTCTTCGGCACAGAGCAATAAGCTGGACCAGGGTCTGGACTCACACACACACATTACGGTGAGGACACCACATTCACTGATGCTGCTGGTCTCTGGACGGGGTTTGTGGGGAGTCATACAGACACGTGTCCTTTAAAAGATGAACAGAGAAACAAGACACATGGACACACCTTCTCCTTGATGAACATGCCAGTGATGATGAGTCCATACAGCCCCAGGAAGCCGTCCAGGATGTAGCACAGCTGAGGGTCATTCAAGGCTAACGCCTCTGTGGAAGGCAGAGTTCAAAGGTCAGACAGAAACAACGCTGCACACCAGCCTGCATCCTTGTACAGTGTCACATTGAACTGAAACCCATCAGCTCCCTGTGTGCACACAGACGAAGGTCAGGGACCTACTGTGGCTCCAGAGGCTCCACAAGCCACTGAACACCAATGTTTTTATTCAACTTTTTTATTATTTTTTTTAACTCGTCAGTCAGAAACTTCTCTGGTTGAACATTTATCATTGTAGGAGCTTTGGAAAGAACTGGGAACCTGTTCGTCTTTTAGCTACTGTATCTCAGGAGGGCGGACAGTGTACCAACAACACGCTGCATGTGGAAAAGCTGAGGTGTTACAGATAAGAGCTGAACCCTGTGCTGAATATCGCCTTGTTGTGTAAATCTTTATCTATTCTAGCTTACATTGCATAACATTTTTACAGATCTGTGCAGTGTCTTTGAAACTTATACATGAAAAACTCTGAACTTTTTAAAAGCAGCTCACTGCACAAATCTAAAGGTTATTGTGTATATTGCCAGGCCGTCAAAGACACAAACAAAACAAAAGCAGCCAACAGCGTGAAGTCATTAGACTGTCATTGTGCAACACTGATGAAATGCAGGCAGACAATGCAGATGAAGGAGGGAACACTATTAGAAATATGTGCAGTAAATATTCTGAAGTCTGCTGCCGTGTGAGTGTGACACTGTGCGAGCGCGTGATGAAGCTCGGTGGTTTCCTCAGCTGCTGCCGATACTCGCTGTGGCTCCATTAACTGACAGGTGTGTGTCTGTGTGTGGTTCGGTGTGGGTGTGTTGATACAGTAAAACTGAAATAGTAGGTGTGTGTCTTCACATCATAAAATCTCATTAAACATTTAAACAGGTCAGATTCACTGTAAGAGATCCTGCATCTTATTCAAACTCACAAAAACTTTATTTAAAGTAAAGATCATTTACAAAGAAGCCAAACATGCAGCTGTACCTAATAAACTGATTCATGTAAAGTCAGTGCTATAATAAGTCCTCCTTCACAGCTAAAAACACTGCACGCTCCATAGTTTGGTGCCAAGACGCTGTCTGCAGTTTTTCCTCTGAATATGTAGGTTCATATATGAAATAAAAACCAAATCAATGGCTTTTCCTACATTTACGGTTTATCAGCTGAGCAAACGACACATTAGTAAGAATCTGGTCATAATACTTTCAAAATAATAATATGCCGTGTCTGGACGTTGTTTCTAAAATGAGGAGACTGTTCAGCCCTCAGTCTCATCTCTCAGGCTAACAAACACTTTTAAAAACCTACTTTCATTTACAGTGTTTCCCCTACCATTATATTAGGGGGACGACCCCTCCCCCCCGAAAGTCAAGTTAATTTTATTTAATTCAATTTTCTATATAGCACCAGATCACAACAGAAGTCATTTAAGGTTACCTTTCCTTTGGAACACATATATACCCTGTTCTTTTATTAAACAAACTAAATAGCTTTGTTATTTAAGTTATTTATCTTATTTACACAACGGCATGTCATTTCTGTCTCTACATGGTCATGCGCTTACAATTCTCCTCTGCTCTTTGTATCGCACACGGCAGAGTTCTGCCCCAATGCGCACACATACAGTAGTAAAGCAGATATATCATTAACTATAGGCATGTTTATATGGTAAGTGTGGTAGATAAACATTTTACTTTGTATGAGCCTGGTACCATTGAAATAAACTGCTGGACAAAGGAGAAACAACTGAACATTTTAGAGGAAACAAAAAAATTATACTTAAAAATTCACAAAACATATTGTCAAATTTCTAAGAAAAAGGTTGTTAACAACATTTTCTCCAGTCTTCCTCTAAAATGTTGCTGCTCTTCCCCCGTTGTCTCGTTTTTTTTTACACTGTACATTTCAGTACCACGAGGCCCTGACTCAAATATTAAACTGCTAATCGCTGCATTATGAAGCGCTCTGATCCTGCAGAGACTCAAATAAAACATCTGGAGCCTGGTGTTTTACGAAGGTAGAAACGACTATTGTGATGATTTGAGATGTAATTACTGGATGCAGACTCCTTCGTGGAACAGCTGGACAGTCAGAGGACACAGCTTAAAAAGATTTAGGTAAGTACATCACACAGAAACTGTAGAAGTGGAGAGGACGAAAATAGGGTTTTTACTGGACTGTTCCAGTAAGAGTCAGTATGTCACTTCCACCACAGAGCTTCACATACCAGGCACATCCTCTGAGGCCGAACTAAACTCGCATGCTCTTTGCATCACACATGACGGGCTATCACAGCATCATCCTCGCTGCTCGCACATCACCGCAGTGATGAAAATCTAGATGCTGAGACTGATATTGTGGTCAATATTTCCAGTTTGGACTGGGAGTGAAGGCTCAAATTGTACATCTGATCAGATAAGAGCAAAAATACACCCAACAGGAAGTCAGCGTGTGTGTGTGTGGTCGGGGTGGACATGCAATCTGATGAGCAGCACCAGTTCACACATGCGCATACAGAACTGCACCAGACTTGCTTTAAAGAAACCTACAATTTAAACAAGGTAAGCAAGAAAACCTGGCTGCTGAAAATAAATAAATAAACACACAACTTGCAGAAAGCTTCACACATTTAAGAACAAAGTCTACACCAAAAAGATCAAGTATTGCTGACTAATTTATGGTTTGGACAATCAACCCATCCCATTTTCCTTGTTGGATGCACTTAGAACCGATTGATCACAGATTGATCAGTGAACTGACAGAAAAAGATTTGACTCTTTTGGTCACCGATTTATTCTGCTGTCATTTTGTTAAGCAAAAAGGCAAACACAAATTCCAGCAGCTTTAAGATGAAAGTACTAGCTGTCGCTGGACACACATGACTGAAAATTGTGGGACAAAAAAAACAACAACTTGAGCTCGGGGAAATTACAATTGATAAAACACTTTTATCAGTAAAGAAAATAATGAGCAGCAGCCAGATGTTTCAAACATTTAGCAAAATGAGAAACAACTTCTGTTTTAGACTGGATTTGGTTTCACTGGGTGTTCCTAATAAACTGGTAAGTGACCTTGACAGTGAAATAAGTTCATGACATTACAATAAGTGATCACCAATACAAACTAATGACACTCAGAATGTTTCCATTCACAAAACTCCAGCAAAAGTTTCCATCACAACCCTGAGATGAGTCGCTGAAGTCTCCGACATGTCACAGTGTCCTGGAATGCAGCATCATCCTCTGCTCTAAAGCATTAGCACGAGAACAAAAGTAAAGCTGCAGTGGAAAATAACTTGCAGCAATTATGATGATTAATCAAAAATGCCCAGAATGTGTTGGTCGGACAAATCGGCATCAGTAAATGTTCTCATGTAGTGCTTTACAATGTTTGCCCCATTCACACACACACACACACACACACACACACACACACACACACACACACACTGATGATCACTGGGAGTGATCTGGGGTTCAATGTCTTTAACCTGTGGACTGGAGAAGCCAGGGATCGAACCACCGACCCTATGTTCAGGAGATGAGCTGCCCCCACTGACCTTCTTTTTATGGCTCAAACAGTTAAACAATCAATCAAACAAAGCATTGACAGACTAACTGATAAACAATCATTAGCGGCTGGGGCCGTCATGATCAGAATCTTTGGCCTCTGCAGACACCGAGTCCAGCCTGATGCTTACATGCAGTGTTACTCCACAGCAGAGTACGGGAAAGAAAAGACTGGATTCTAATCTCTGATTTGCTTTTGACATATAAATGTTGATTTACATGCAAGTGGGTTTTTGCAGGAACTCATCTAATTTGTAACTCACTTCTGAAATCAACCCACAACACCCTCACACAAATCTTACAGGAAACACTTCGCTAGTTAAAACACAGACGTCTTCTCACAACAACCAGTTCAGCTGTTCCACAACAAACAGTACAAGTAACAGTGGTAGTCAAACAGAGGCTCATGGCCCAAATTCGGCCCTCTAACAAAAACATCTGGCTCCACAATGAAACCTGGCACATCACAACTTTTACATAACTTCTTACAACAATGTAAATACAGAGCTCGTGTCAGTCCCAGTAAATATACCTGTCAGCTCAGTACTGCGCCTGTGTTTGAGGTGACTGTTACGATGACCCCCTGCTGTTAGGAACTACTGCCCCCCCCCTGCCCCGGCTCTGCACAATAACAGATGATGGACAAAGTTCTATGTAACTTATCCATGTGCATGGTTTAGTTACTGTGCCCAGTGAAACCCAGCTGAACCTCACTGAGACATGACATTATATGAGAGCTGACATTCATGTTCCAAACATGACTGGAACAAAGCTGTGATATTAACTGTGAAATCAGTCAACGTTTACTGTAACCTCCTGGCAACAGGCAAACGGAAACACTAGTGATGTCAGTGGTTTCATGTGGAGAAGGATGAGAGCAGTAGAGCACAAGTCATGTGTTTACACAGTTTGATTTGATTCACTCAGAAATATGTGGTTCAGATAAATGATTTCTTTTGCCACAGGCCTATTTGCAACTGATCAGCAGGGTCCAGTGGAAAGATGGGTTAATGCTTTTTCATGAAGAAAGTACATCTGCTTCTAGAGTCAAAGTACTCAGAGGTTAGACTGAAGTACAGGGGTACACGGTGTACTGAGAACAGTGAGAATCCACAGTTATCTGGGTTTTGACACTGGCATGTTGCCGTCTTGTGCTGTCATGGATTTTTAATTTGCATTTAATGTTTGAACTGTGCGCATTGTGCTAAGCACTCTGAACTGCCTTTATGTTTGAAAGTGTGCTATATAAATAAACCTGTCCTGCTTTGTTGAGCTGCTTTTTTTGGTACTTGA